CATTGAGTTAAATCTCTGAGGGATCTTTGCATTTCCTTTAATGGGACAGCCTTATGAGTATCTGAGGTTAATTGGCTCTGCTAAGGTCACTTGCAAAGCTGCTCTTAGCATTTCAGTGGGATCAGATTCATCCTGATTGCAAGAAGTTTCTTTGTGTGTGCTACTTCGCTTTGTGCATCCTTTTAGATAAGAGAACTGCTCTTAATATTTACTGTTGCTATGGTATGTCTTTTCTGAGGATGTCAGTGGACTTCACAAAACATGAGGTCTCACAGCAAGTCTGTGACAGTACTAAGTACTGTAGGTTTCATAACATAGCTGAGAAAACTGTGACAAGAAAAAATCCGTAAGATCTACTAAGAATCACAAGAGAAAATATTGCCATTGGGTCATTAGTAAATAGGAGGTGCAGACTGCATTAACAACTCCAGTCCAGATAGTCCAGAGACTTGTCTTTTCCTCCAAAATGTGGACTGTTGACAAATGTAAATGTTTTTTTTTGAGGGGAGGGGGGGAAGTAGCCTAAAAATTAGGGAAAAGCTACACTGAAAATTACTGGTTGACCATTATACAGCATGAACATTGGTTTGTTTGGGGTTTTTTTGTTTGTTTTAATAAAAGATATAAATCTCATGTCTTATGTTTCTAAAACATTTTAATCCATATCCTTTTATTAAGGAGCAATCCCTTTGTCTGAAACAGTACTTGGTCTGTTTTGTGGTGAACCATTTCTTAATGACAAAAAACTGATCCAAGCAGTTGCTCTGAATTCATGATACCAGTAGCTTTATGTAAACATTTTGGAATTACAAAAACGACAAGGTCAGGATGGCAGTTCTACAAGGCTACTGCTTTTGATTGATTCTCTGAAAAGTTTCTGATGGTATGGTTGCAAACTGTATGGTAAGCTATTTTTTAAAAAAGTTTTTCTTACTTTCTGGGAGAGATGTCTTGTGAATCTGAAAGCTGGAGACCTCAAGTTCAACTTAATATTTATAGATGTGGTTGCACACAGTCAGTGGTGGCATAGATCTCCCCGTGCTCTATCATTTTTGTGTGTTGCAAATGGTCTTGAGGAATAGCTAAAAGAAGAAAGGGCAAACTTGTTCGTGACCCTTCTCTGGAAGCGAGCAGAAACATGTCATTTAGCAAAGAGGGCTGTTGATGTGCATGCTTATCATTGAGGAGCCTGCAGTTGCCCAGACCGAACTGAAGGCCATTTACAACTCACTGCCTGGTTGGGATTTAAGGGAGAGACACATCAATTTACTCCTGAACTTGTCTTTGTGCAGTTTATCAGAAGACCATGTAGAAATACATTCTCGAAGGCATATATATTTGCCTAAAAATCCACTAACTATACAGAAAATAAAATGGCTGTGTTTACATATTTGGGTTTTCATGTGATCTGAGGCTGAAATTATCAGAACAGGGTTTTTAAAAGTGCCTACCCAGCATTTTCAGAAATGCCAGTTACCTGTGTTTCTGACCAACTTTGGTAGCAGCTGCTGTATCCTTTTTGTGGATCAGGATGTTCTGGCCTTGTTTGGCTTAAGGAAAGCTTGCGAGGTTGTGCTGTGCTTGGCCATATCCCACGGACAAAGCTGGAGCTGATCTCCCCTGCTATTTGCTAATGTAACAGCAGGTGAATGCCAAGAACTGTGTTAAAGCAGGTTATGTTACCATGCTTGTGGTGCTCATCTGCCTTCCCCAGCCAAGTTACCGTTTGGAAACCCTGCCTGTTTCATGTCATATGTGTTGACAGTCATCTTGTGACCTTGGAGAAAAACTGAGTAGAGCAAACCTTTAAGGTTCCAAAACCAAGGCAAACGTTGTGAACACTGTGTCTTTATTTCTGTAGATAATTCTCTCTTGGGGGAACCAATACTTGGGCTTAACAACATTACAGGTGTAGAAGTAGGAGTCTTCACTGAGATTCTGGTAGCTCTGCGTTCATCACTGCTGACTGAGCTATAGTAGCATAACCTTATATTGAGAAAAGATTAAGCCAAAACAGAGGGGCAACAAGGTGAAAAATTGAAAGACTTAATGAGAAATATAAAATACAACACTATGAAAAGAAAACTAAGATGTGATAAATTTTACAAAGAAGGAAGAATCTTAAATCCTATCAAACTTTTTACAATATTGAATGAAAACAGCTCTTGTAACAATAAAAAGCAATATTTTAAACTGTCTCTAGAATATATTTTAGTGTAATTCATCAGTTACTGCAAAATGCCATTGAGGACAAGGACACAACGGGGTTCAGGACAGCTCTGAGAGACACAACAGCAGTTACTTGGACAACCAGAATTCTTTTCTCTATAAACCAAACTTTTCATTGCAGTGGTTAGCCAAGAAAAAGGTGAACAAAACCCCATTTTTAATTTCACATTATAATGTTTTTATTTTTTCACATTAATGTTTTTAGGGTGTTTTGTAGCATGCACTTGATTGGGTTTAGTCTGCCAAAAAGGCTGTGCAGTTCACTGCTAAGTCAAGGAAAATACGCACATAATACTGTCCTTAACTAGCATAAAGAAGTCTGTCTTTGAAACAAAGATGTTTTCCAGTGAGCAGTTATTCAAATTGGAAGAGTGAATACCACCCACAATAGTAGCATTTCATAGACTTGTGCCTACCTGCATTGCAGTTTGCCTTTGGTTTTTTTTTGTGTTTTTTTTTGTTTGTTTGTTTTGTTTTTTTTTAAATGGAGAATATTGTTCCATTTATATTTAGGTAGCTGTTTTTACAGTTCAGTACACTTGAGCAAACTGGTGTACTTCTCTACAAGTGGCTTTTTTCTGCTACAAACACTGGCAAATCATGCGTTTTGAGTGCAAGATGGACTTTCATCTGATACCCAGAACTAAATCATTGCATTTTCTTGTGTGGATCAACTCAAGTTACTGTGTCCATCTTTCACTCCTCTGCTTGAAGGGGCTAAGCTATATGAATGGATTACTAGGATATTGAACATTTCTCTGTGACTCATACTACAGAATACAAAAGCTCTAAATGACTAGTCACCTGGCTGTTGAACCTCATGAAAATAGAGCTTTTATTAGAAAATTAATTCTTATATTGGGGACTGATGATAAACCATGAGAGATAACAGCATTTTGATACCTAGTCATTGCTGCAATCTCAGCCAAAAGCTGCCTCAGAGCCAGTTTTATTAAGATCTGTATGTTAAACAATTCAGGAGTGTTGCTTTGGGAAGGTGAAGTCGGGTTAACCATGCTCACAGTCTGACAAAGATCTCTGCATCTGATATTCCTCAGGTTTTGTCAGTGCCCATAGAGCTGCTGGTAGATTTTTCAGCTGGTTGCACTTGTTAACGTTGGCTTGGCAAAGTAGTTTGGCATTCCTTGTTTCAGGCTCCCGCTGGAGCCATGTTCCGGGGGTGATACTGACTCAGTTAAAGTATATGTCATACAGTTTGTACTGAAATTCATGCTCTGTTTTTTAAGCAGATTTTTACTTGTGCAGAGATGGCAGTTGTGTTGTCCAGGGCAGATGTGGCTGTCTGGGTAGACTCTAGTCCTTCCTTAATCATTTGTGAACTGATCATCCCATAGCTTAGCACCCTTATTTAGAGTTACAGGACACAATATTAAGTATTTGATTCTGTTTTTTTCGTGTTGCTTTGGACTTTGATCTCTTGGCCCCTTGCCAAAGGAAAGCAATCTTTAGAAATAACGGTAAAGGCTGATTGCCTTTATGGGTTTCTAGATGCCTTTTGGCACCGAGCCTTGAGACCACAGGGAGCAATGCTTTCCTCGCTCACAATCACTCCAGGCTGTGTGCAAAGCATGGAAAGCCACCTGTTCCACGTGTGGCTTCCAGGATGGACCACTGGGTAGGCTTAGAAGGGAGTAAGATCAGTTAAAACATCATAATACTTTCCCCAATATTTTCCCTTTAACCTCAGCTTAATTTGAAGACCATGGTTTAGTGAACTATCTAGTTATGTGGCTTCCTTCAAATTTACTTTAAGCTTATTTAACTTTGGCTTATTTTTAAGAGCAGGACATGCCAAAAAGTGAAATTCTAGCTTAATTGGAATTAGTGTGACCCACTGGGGATGAAAAAGAAACAGGTAGTCTTAGAGTTTGTTAGCAAAGAAAAAGTTTTGGTGGTATAGCAGTGTCGGTAAACTTGGTCTCTGAGAGTATAGCATGTACTAGAGAAGTGTGAAGTGCTTCAAGCAATATGAGTTAAACTGGTTTCCCTAATGAATTAAAGTGTATTGAGAGGAAAAAGAACAGGGGTAGAGATGTAGCTTTATCTTTGACAGTTCTGCTTGCACAGTTATGCTCTTCTGAAGGTTGTGTTTAATTCTCTAAATTGATGTTGGTACTACTTCTAAGTGCTTATTAGAGCATGTACCCCCCGATCAAATGTGCCTGCACATGCAATTATTCAGGCATAGCTTCAAGTCTGGGCCAATTAAAGTATATACGGGCCAGGAGTTAACTGGGAAAAGGGCAAAGAAAATCAACACAAGCCATTGAAGCAGTCTCTCCCTATATAGCTAAATCAGTTAAATTGTTACAGGAACACAGGTACAACCCTCCTAAGCATCTGAAACCTCCTGGCCTTTCTCATGTACTGAGCTACTCCCAGGCTTTCTGTGTATCTCTTCTTTAAGGAGCATTCCCAGATATAACTATGTGATCTAGTTCAGTTAAAATTCTTCTTTCTAGGCTGTTAGTCAAGTATTTCTGACATTGTGGCCTACTGAAGTGGACTGCAAACCCAGTGAAGAGTCTCTATTTTTGTTTTTAAAGTCCAGGTACTCTCATAGTAATACTTTATAAATCCAAGAGAGCAGTACTTCTGTAAGTAGGCAGGTTTAGGTGGCTTCACAGCATTGCTTTGAAGCCTCAGGGAGGTACAATGTGATTCAGTGGGTGAGCATTCGTTCTTTCAGGAATGCAAATATATCTTGTCCTAAGTACTGGCTGATTTTGGCTTTTATTCTTTCCGTTTAGATGACGTTTTAGATGAGGCAACAAGGAAAGACCTTTTCACCGACACTTTCTGTAAGGTTTGCGGGGCAGTGCTGCAGTTTGAGTCTCAAAGGATATCACACTATAAGGTAGGCTGGAAAGGAGAATTTTTCTTAGCAAGCACTGGGACTTCGGTTTGTTTGGGGTTTCTATGTAGTGTTATAAAAGACTTCTTATAGTGTGTTTCTCAAGGCTTATGCTATACTAACCAGACTTGAATGCTGTGAAAGTTGTGGGTTCAGTGATGGTGAAGGGCAATCTGCTGAATATTGCAGCATGGTTTTAGAAAGAACTGAGCAGGTTCAGACCATGCTATGTATGGGGTTGAAGCAGATCTGTACCATGTGAGCCAGAACATACGTATAGTACGGGGCAGTGCTAGCTGTAGAGGATTGAGGTCATGCCTCCTGATGTTTCACCCAGAGACACATATGTGCTCCTCTGTGCACCAGTGTCTGTTTGAGGTAGGTTGTATCAATCATGCTGAAGACATTTCTTGCAACAACTGTATGCCTTGGGATATTGCTATGGATATGGGCAAGCATGCTTTATTTTGAAACTTGATCTTGAGGGTGTGCAGGTTTGCAGTCACAGGTGTTTCTGTCATCTTCTTCTTAAAAAAATTAGTTTAAAATACCATTTGCTGTCAGAAATATTTCTTGCCATTCATGTTATTAAGACTTAGGTCTTGCAAGGTGTTATATTTACTTACTTCAATTTAGCAGCGGTTGTGCTGCCAGAACTTTGCAGAGTTGCACCTCGGTTTGGTGTTCTGTTTCTTGGATCCGAATCCAGTTGAGGATAATAGATGCAACTGTAAAATTACCTGACTCCACCATTACAAATCAAATTGATGGAAATAACTCTTTTTTTCCTCAATTATATTATCTAGCCAGGTATGGTAGGACCCCCTTCTCTTTGATAATATTGTTAGAATATCCTGCACTGCTCCTCAGAATCCTTAAAAGACATCCGAAAACCATCAGCTCAGAGAAGGCAAGTTGCTTCTTTTGCATTATAGGTCACCACTATATAGGGTGGCATGTGGGTAAGTGCAAGAGTTTGAAGGTTATAGGTTGAGAGCATCTAAGAATTAAAAAATAATTGTGTCTGAGGGAAGTATACATGAACACCCCGTTTCAGTTATCTGGACTATTGTATCCTCAGTAGAAAGGTGTAGAAATCTCCATAGACCGACTCCAAGATGGAGATGCTTTAACTGGGCTTCCAGGGAAACCTGGTTTTCTCCACTGACTAGGGAGGCTAGACTTCTTATTTGGGTAGGTGAGTTGAGTTGTGCTGCCTGTCATTCTTCTGTGCCAGGACACAGGAGAGCCTTGATGTCAAGCCCCCAGGCTTGGTGGTAAAGGAGCACAGCAAACTTGCTCTGTGGCATGACTGCATTCCTTCCCTTACTTATTTTAGTGTGCCTGTTTGTAAGGGGACATGTTGGGAATTTTGATTGCACAAAGAGTTGAGTGTAGATGACTCCAAGAGCTGCTTGAGGCAAAATGTTATGAGTAATGCTAAATAAGATATTATTGATTAAGGTATAGTATTGTTACATGAGCTGGCATTTGTCCACTTTTGGCTCTGCTTTATACAAATACAATTAGGCAAGTGTTGAAAGCTGGTTTTGATTAATAAAGTCCCAGTCACTGGATATATCACTGCTTGGATCCTTGTTACTGAAGCAGGAATAATTCTAGTCTCTTCCCAGGGCAAAAAACATGCTCAGAAAGTTCGTCTTTACATCCAGATGCATGGTGAGAAAGATGAGAGGCGGAAGCATAGCAAACAGAAGAAAACAGGTTGTATCAATTTTCAGGTGAGTGGACCTCTTCATCACTAAATAAAACATTTTCTTGTATACTTCAGTGAATGCTTGTAACTGAGCTTGCCCTTGTCTGGTTTCAGATGGATGGGAGTGGAATAGTGGACAAAAACAAATTCTGCAATCTCTGCAACATGTGTTTCACTTCCCCAGTTGTTGCTTTGTCCCACTACATAGGAAAGATCCATGCTAAAAAGCTGAAGCAATTATCAGGATATCAAGCCCACGTGCCAGCACGGAGCACGCAGCCTGTTTCTGGTAAGAACTAGTTTGCTTTGCATGCATTTTCCTGTCACTCTTTGAAACAAATAGAGAACTATCTTCCTACACTTGTCATGTCTTTATGCCTTTCTATTCTTCCAAAGTTGTGGAGTTGTCTTGTGGTAACTCCTTAGGTGAATAAACAAAGATACTACCCTCTGCAACTCAGAAGCCGTGGAACCTTGCTTATAAATTCCCTATCTTCCATTGACTGAAACTAAAGGCAAATATTTCCAATTTCTTTATTAATGAAAGGTGTTTATTGTTGTTCTGACATTTCACTGCAGTTCCAACAAGATGTTCCTCTGGTAAATTAATATGATAAGAAATTAAAAAAAAATTAGTTCACAAGCAACACTTAACTGGTGTTAGTCCTGTACAAGTTGCTGAACAGTATTTAAAGATGGAGCGTAGTGTATGTGCTCTGAATCACCCTCTGCAGGGTGCATCTCTCTTCTTGCACTTTATAAGTTGCTTAAAGTGACCAGCCGTCTGTCCTGGTTTTATCTGGGATAGAGTTAATTTTCCTCCTAGTAGCTGGTACTAGGATTCAGTGCGAGATTAATGTTGATAATTGATGATAATGTTGATAATTGACATTGATTTAGTTGTTGATAAGTGGCGCTTAAGTTAAGGATTTTTCAGTTTCCCATGCTCTGCCAGCAAGCAGGTGTGCAAGAAGCAGGGATAGCTGACCCAAACTAGCCAAGGGATATCCCATACCATAGAACATCATGCTCGGTGTATAAACTGGGGGGGGTTGGCCAGGAGAGGCCGATCGCTGCTCAGGCATCAGTCAGTGGGTGGTGAGCAATTGCACTGTGCATTCCTTGTCTTTTTGAGGGTTTTATTTCACTCTCTTTTTGTTATATTCCTTTTCATTACAATTGTTGCTATTGTTATTATTGCAGGGTTTTTTAAATTCCATTTTAGTTATTAAACTGTTCATATTTCAACCCACGAGTTTTACTTTTTTTTTTGATTCTCCTCCCCATCCCACTGGGAGTGGAGAGGAGTGAGCAAGCAGCTACGTGGTGCTTAGTTGCTGGTTGGGGTTAGACCATGACACTGTCAAATACAGCTGATTTTTAAGTATCTAATGGTGGGGGTTCTGAATATTCTAGGGCTCTGTTCATTATCAGTCTGCAGATTCATATCCTTGCAAGGACTCTAATATTTTATAGTCTCTTGTAAGTAGGTCATCACCCATCAGACTGTTCTCCTTTCCAGCTCTGTAGTTCTTCAGTCACCTGTTTTGCTTGATGGAATTGTTTTAGCCTTTCCTTTGCTCTCCTGTCAGCCAATTTATACTCTATTTCCATGTCTCCAGCTTTACAGAACCCATTGGCTGAGAAGCTCTTAGTGCCTTTAGAAGCTGAAGGGTCTTTGTCATCCTTCAACACAAGGTTGATGTTAAATGATCCAGACAAGTACTGCAAGCTCTGCTGTGCTCCCTTCAACAGTCCACTTGCGGCCCAACAGCATTATGTTGGTAAGAAACACAGAAGAAATGAATCACGGAAAAAGATATTGGAGCAGCTAGGAGACAAAGTTGTCCCTGCAGAATCCAGCACAAAGGGTAAGCAAAACATGAGCAAGGTTGTGATCTCTTCAGTGTAGCTTTGAGTGCTCAGTTCTGGTTTGTTCAAAGAACTGCTCTGTTACTTGCAAGGGGATGATAGACTTCTCCTGTTTTACAGAACAAGTTAATTTCTTCCTTTCAGTTTGGTTTATGAACTGCTAAAGTTCTGTCTCTGACAGCTGTCGGTTGGAAGATATTTTTTTACTGACTTAGAGACCCAAATCCAGGTCCTCACAGAATTCTGCAGTCATATTCACAGAAAATAGCTCAGTCCCCTAAATCAAAGGCTAGGATCAGTTGTATCTGTGTCATTCTTAAGATGTTCATCCACCTTGTTCTTAAAAACTGTCAGTGCTGGAAACTCCACAATCTCCATAAGGAACATCTCCCAGGACTTCTTGATCTTTACCTTCTTGATCTTGAAACCTTCTACTGCCATTGAGCTTGGCTCTCTGACCACAGTGTATTTCGTCACTGTGCACAGAACAAGAAGCAGACACAAGAACTGAATCATTTGTTTCCTTTTTGTTGCATTCTTTAAATAATTGAAAACTGATGTCTTGTCTTACCTCAATCTTTTATTCATGAAACTGGTTGTTGTAATTATTTCAGTCTTCCCATATAAGGAAATTTGTTTCCTAAAGAGTAAGTATTCTCTAGCTTCCCATCAGGACTGTCTCCAGCTGAAGCACGGTGTCCAAAGCCAAAGTCCTGTTGCTGTGCAACTTCCATTAATTTTTGAGGGGGCATCATCTGGTCCTGTGCAACAGAACTGTTCATCCTTCCTTTAATAAGAATTCAAAATGCTACCTGATAGTCAAAAGTCACTGCTAGTATAAAACAGCTCTTACTAAGTCATGCTATAGCGTAAACAAAATAATACATTTTGATGCAAAGGAATAACCCATTGGAATTAATACTGAATTTTGCTAATGGATGAAGCTCTTGGGTTTGCATGGGGAAAAAGGTTACTCATTGGTTTCAGAATACTTAGGTCTATGGTTGGCACAGCCTGTAGGAGAGGAGAAAATGACAACCTAGAAAACACAATGAGGGTTTTCCTCTTTGACCTTACCTTACATTTGCCTGAGACTCCATGTACCATATTCATAATGCACTGTATTGACAATTTTCTCAGCATCTTCTCAGGGTCAAACCAACACTGAATGAACATTTGAGCAGGCAATGTTTAAACTGATCTTGAACATTTGAGCAGGTTATGTTTAAACTGATCTGATTTTAATTAAATCTGGACTGACTGGGTTGGTATGTGTTGGTGCTTGCTTTGGGTCAGGTATTTAAAATAGTATTTAATCTTTCAGTACAGTTCATTCTCATCAGCATTTGACAGCAGTTTACTGGAATTATCTTGGATCATTTCAGTCATCAGAAATACTCTTTGTTAATGTTTAAACCATGATTAGACTGCAACTGTACACCTTGTCAGCTTGCTTCATAAATATTATTCTAGCATTTAATTGAAGCAGAGACTTTATATCTGTCTATAAACATTGTTTATGGGAACATTATGTTAGGAGTCTTGCATGGGATGGGATCGTGATGTATTTTGAGTTTTGCCTTTCATTTGTAGTTTAACTAACCTACAGGTTCCTTCTTTTCAGCAGTTGGGGTTGGTTGTTACATGTGCTTCATATGTAACATCACACTTACATCTATAGAAACGTACCAGGCCCATGTGCAAGGACAAAAGCACCGGTCTAAGTAAGTCAATAAGTCTTTTGTTACTATTCCTCTGTAGTTTGTACTTTCAAACTTTTTCATTAGCCCTGTTGTCTGTTGTTAAGTGACTTATTCATGGGGTTTTCATTTTGGTTGGGGGATTTTTCTTGTTGTTTGGTTTACTGGTTTAAAGGGGCACTGTCCACTTAAAAATCATACTTGTGACTGAAATTCAGTCTTAGAGTTCACACAGTTGCATCTTCAATGACAACCCACATGGGGAAGATCCTGAAACCTTTACAGTTTACCCACTTATTTTGCTATCTGAGGATAGCAGCACCTGTTTTGGTACAGCATCTTCAGTGCTCAGTCTAGAAGGAAGTTGTCTGAACTTAAAGATTCCTACTGACAGGGCAAAGAAGACTTTAATCCTGAGAAGTGCCAAGTCTCCATCAATTGTGTGGCTTTCAGGATTCATCAACATGCATCTTACATTTGGCATAAAAACATTTATGGGATAGATGATAGCTCTTGTACTTCCCTTTTACCCTGAAGAGTGCCTGTAGGCTGTGTTAATTGCAAAATGGATATTGTGGTGATTTAAGATGTACTTTTTGGAGATTGCTGTGCAGGTAGGCTGACTGTCAAAATTGCTTACATGTTAAGCATTTTGATAAGACATATTTTAAGTGAAGGTACAATGATGATATAACTACAAAAGACAGATGTAGAACTGATACGATTTTAAATGTTTGCTTAGTCAACAGAAATAGAATCCCTGAAACAGGAGTGTAGAGAACTGCTACAAGCCTATCTACAGTTTAACAAAATGAATATATAAAGCTGGTGAATTAAGGCAAAACAAGATATATTTAAGGGATTAAGAGCTGCCCTTTCCATGGGGGATATTTTTGTCACCTAACCCCTTTATCTTCCAGCCTGAGGAAAGGCCAAGTAGAATATAAACTGATAGGTAGCACACATTTATTTTGTTTGGGGGTTTTAGCAATCCAGGTTGCTTGTTTCTGTTCTGTTTTGTTTCTGCTGTGGAGTCCCACAGTTTGCCTGAAATTACTGTATTGCAACCGTTCAGTAGAATGAATCTCATAAAGAAATTAGTAATTCTACTACTTGAAAGTCAGTATATAATGTAATTGCTTCTTATCTGCAGCTAACTGGAGATCAGTTAATAAGACAGGATCTTAAATTTTCTTTTTAAAAAGTAGTTTTAAAATTGTATGCAGTCATTTCAAAAGCATCTTATTCTACCTAGGTCACAAGAAACTCATTCATTAAGTTATTCTGGTTTTCCAGTTTTCACAAAGAGTAGAATTGGTACCCTGTAACTTCAGCTTTACAGATATGATTGTGTATAGTGGGGTCCATGTAGTTACCTGGAACAACACACTTAGGAAATGTTCTTTTTCTAACTCTGGAAATAGGACTTTTTTAACTCAACGGATGATTAGCAAATTTTTCAGTATTAATAACTAAGACTTTCTATCCAATTTATGCAGAGAAACAATGCTTGTCAATCTCATGAAGAAATCAGAGAAAATGTATAACTCCTCCTTTCAAAATGAGTTAACAGGCTACGTTAAAGTTCGGAAAGCTAGAGGTCTAGATCCCAGAAGATATTTAGGAAAAGCAGAAGAGGAAGGATTCCAAGATAAAAACATGGAAGGAGGAAATGACCTTGGTAAGGTTATATCTTCAAACTTTAAGTATGAACAAGGCCAGCGTTCCTGCCTTTTCTCAGAAACCCAGTCACCTACAAATACTGGGGAAAATAGATCACCAAGCTGGCCATCAGCTTCTGAGCATGCACTGGAGAAGACACTTAATTGTTGCTATAACAAAGGATACTGTAAAACGGAGCAAACTTCTGAGGTGACTACCATCAGAGATGAGAGCTTCAGCCTACTGGTTGCAAAATCTAAAGATTACTGCAACTTTATGCTTGCTTCTACCAGCTCCTGCAGAAAAGAACAGAAATTTGAGTTAAAACATTTTGAGGAGGAAAAATGCATCAGTGAAAAGCTGAAGTATGAGAAAAAAGCCACAAAGAAGAAAAGAAAGAAAAGTAATGAAGATCCAGATTTTAGAAAAGAGAAGCAAAAGAGAATTAAACTTGAGATAGACATGTTAAATGAGAAGAAATCAAGACCTTATATAGGCAAAAGACTTAAAGAAAACCCTACTGAGAAAGATAGCAAAAAAGATAAAAAGAAGCTACAGACAGATGTCAAAAGAGAAGAGAAGCTACTCCAGGATGAATCTGTCTTGGGATATTGATAAAAGATTTTGTTTAGATTTAAGAAGTTGATTCTGTTCGTAGACTCACTTAACCATTTTGTACTATACTATCACTGTTCTTTAAAGCAAAGTTTTTGTTCCAGTGTAGAAGCAAGAAAAAGCCTGCCTTCTGAGATTTTTGGGCAGTATCTAGGCAGCAATTTTAAATCATCTTACACATACAGGAGCTATTGCAGTGACATGAGTTTGATAGTCTGTAATCTCTTCTGGAATATACTACAAATAAGGGTCAGCAATTTACAGAATACTGCTGGAATTTTGCCAAATTGTACAGCTTCTTTCTAATATTAATGGTGCCTACCATTGAGGTTTGTGTTATTCTAGGAAAGTACATAAATGCTTCAGTGTTCTATTAGTGTCTGTAACCCTTTCTCTGACAGATGTAACAGGAGAATGTGACAGGCTTTTGATTCCCGATCCTGTTTGCTATTGGGATTTTTGTGGTTTGTTTTTTTTGTCATCCAGTTCTGAGTGGAAAATTAGTATATTAAACATGCAAATGGTTGTCAAATATGCATTGTCTAGTAGATTTTTCTCATTGTAATCCTGATTTTTAGTTTAATTTAGGAGACACAGAAAAGATGCAACATGCAAAATTAATTGCTGACATGAAGCTCCATTCTGCTTCATTCACTCCTGTACATCAAATGTTAGAATGAAGCTAGATTTGTGATCCAAACAATATCCTGAAAAATCAGTAACAGCTTTGTATTTCCATTTTAAATGTCATGTCACGTCACCAGACCTTCGTTCACAACATGGATTTATGTTAGTGTAGCATGAGCACCGGTGTCCAACATATGTGCAATTAATTGAGAAACTCGTGTGGTGGGGTTCAAGCTCTTGTGTTGCTCCCAGGACTCTCAGATGAAACCTTCAGTAAGCCACGGACACTGGAGACACATCATTGTCTACAGGGCTTGGGGCAGGCAGGCTGCCCCGGAGAAGGAGGAATTGCATTGTCTGCCTGCACTGTGCAGAGCTGGGGTTGCGTGGAGGATTTGAAGCCTGTGTGATGTCTTACTGAAAGCTGCTGGGCTGAGTAAATACAGTGAAGTTCTGAAAAGTGATCATTTAAAAGCAATTTCACAAGACACTGTTTAGTACCTCTCTTACTGCCTTCAGGTTGCAAGAAAGTTTCTTCTGAGCCTTGATGTGGGATCTGAAAGCCATCACGCTGTTGGTTTGCATCACTCAGGCTGCGCTTTCCACTGGGTTAGTCTGTTTGTAGAGGCACCTGTGCTGAGCTGCTGTTCTGGGTAAATCTGCCCAACTGAAACTTTCTGTTGTGGGTGGTTGTGGTGTGGGATGGAGTAGAGACCAGGGCCCTCAAGCCTTGAATTCTGTCTGTTTTGTCGTAGGTTTAGTTTTGAGAGTATAAGTAGTAGGTTGAAAATAGTCTGCTTTATTTTTTTGTCTGCTTTATTTGTGTTTTGTGGTTGATTGCAATCTTGGATTTAGAATTTTTTTGTGCTGCTGATAATGTTGTAAATCTCAGTAGTTAGCATCTGAGCCGTCAAGTAACTTAAACTTGTCCATTAGAGGATGTACTAACTAGGTTCATGTACAACTAAACAAAGCTGAGCGGAAACATGTAGGTGCTAATAACTATTGGCCAGGAGTCTCAGGAACCTGAACTCAGCTGTCCATGGGGATTCAGCTTTAAATTCAAAGTGTGTCAGGTCCGCTTTCCTAATCTGTCCTGGTCTTTGTTTGAGGCTGATAATGCCTCTGCTTTCTTCAGTGGCTCTTTTTGCCTGCTCAGGAGTTAGATGCCTTTCTGAATCTTTTCAAGGACTCTCTCCCTTGCTTTCTTTAACCTTTGCTTGTCTGATGAGGGAGTCTAAGAGTAGTACATTAATAACTGCATTTCTCATTATTTACTTGGGCAGAGTGAGTTCAATCATAATTTACTTATGCTAACTGTTGGTGACAGTTGTGAGCTGTTGTAAGCTGCCAGCTGCAGGCTGCTTGTATTGTCCTACAGTGTCACTGGGGAGGTTTTCAAGCGATCTCCCCTATATATACTTTTTGCTGCGAGAATAACAGGGGCAACACTGCAGCTTGTCTCCCATGTAAGACAAATAATGTCTTCCTCTTCTCTCAGGATGCTTAGTTTAGCAAACTAGGCACTGTAAGATGTCTTTATTTCTGCCACTCCATCAAATAGGGCTGTACAAATATGGCCAGTGTATTTCACAATTATTAGTAAGGAACCCTTGCTCCAGTATGGTCACATATGCCTCCTTTCCTCAGGAATTCAGTGTAAGAAAACAGACTTCCAGCAGACAGAAAGGCTGTGGTGTGGTACCCTGCTTGTACACAGGGAACAGACTAATCAGAGGGAAATAGGTCCCAGCTTACTTGCTTTTGAAATAAGAGTTGCACTTTCGGAAGTCAGGAAGATTTTTGGAAATCAAGAAGATTAACAGCTCTGTACAGTAGAAGCATGAGTTGGCAGAAGAGGGAGATGGTTTTGGTTTTTTTCAGTGATCCATTCCAAAATCTGTGCTTGAACTCCATACCCTCCTTGCCCACCCACCGAAAAGTGGTTGCACAAACTATGTAGAATATCTGTAAACAAAGTTTCTTGGTATCAAACATGAAAGGTAAGATTCCAAAAGAATTGTTCTTGCCACATTTTGATTAAACAATAATTAATCTATGAATTTAAGTGCTGCAGATGAGACATGGCAGATTCTCATCTAGGAAAAGTGACTTACAGCTGTAATTTAGATAAGTGATATCCAATTTTCTAAGGTCATAAATAATGATTATTGTTCGTGTGTTTCCTGATTGCCTTGTTCCCAGCCTTTCACATCTGTGCCAATAGTTATCTACATGCTAGACATTTTAAAATACTAGGCACAGAGATTGATGGCTTTATTTAACCTTTACTATAAGTACATCCTTTTTTACTTCTTGGTAGCAAAAGAATCCACACTGTAATGAAAGCTAATTCTGCTCATCTGTTCCTCCCATTAAAACTACAAAGCATTACAAGTCTGATTTGAGAACTAAATGACAGATCTTTGTCACATCTGAGGAGACAGACTTGCAGATGTGACTGGAGACCCCTTGGAGTCAGTGGTGTTTTATGCAGGTACAAGGCTTCCTCTGTGAAGGCCCAACAACACTGAATTTGATCTGTCTCATCTTTCAGCAAACCTGAGTGCTGCTTGGCTTTGTGAAAGAGCTGCTGTGTATGAAAAAGGCAAGTTAAAACCGTGTACATGTAACTGAGCACAGAAGCAAGGTTAAAACTGCTGTCTAAAGATGGGCTTAAATGACGACTCCTGCATTTCAATTTTGGCACCCTGTGGTTCACCAGATCACCTGGATCAAGTAGTGAACTCTCCCAAGGCCTCTTTTTTTCATCTACAAATGATGCAAAAGGGAACTCTGGCAGATTTATCATGACCGTGATGTGTCCCTGAAGCAGTGCTGCTGCCAGTTTTCCCTCCTTTCTCCTGAAGGTTACCATTCCTGGGCCATCCTTGTGTCCCTGCAGCCACTGTTCTCATTCAGAGGCAAACAGTTCAGCTTAAACTCTCTGTAAGAGCAGCTGCCATTAGAGGGAGGCAAGGCCACCCTTCTGCTGGAGCAGGAATAACAGGAAATTCCTGAAAGCACTGGAGTTACGTGTTCACCTAACATGTAATAGAGACTAAATGTGCACCTCTGAAAGCATAGGACACTCAATGTGGCAGCTGGAGAGTGGCATGAATGTGCTGTTCTGCAAAATACTGTCACTTTTTTATACTATGGGGGCTTTTATGACTTTTTATACTTTGGTTTCATGACTGCCTGCAATATGTGAAAAATGGGTAGTGAGACCCTAGTGTGAAGTCAGTCTGAAAAAGGTCACAACTGAGACAGGACATCTCTTTCTGCGTCCTGTGAAGTGAGCAACAAGTTGTTTTCACGGTGGTAGGTTCTCATTTTGAAATCTTGTGATAGAAGGGAGAACCACTGAAGACGCCTTGCATGCCCTGAGCTCAGGCTGTGGTTTCGGTGAGGCACACTGGGAACACTAACACCTGACAAGTTAACCCCAGCGTTAGCTTATGAGATATATCCTCATCATATCTAACCTGCTAACTTGTCCAAGCATAGTTCTAGGAAAGTTGAGAGGCATTCAGCTGAAATCAATGTAAATCACCTGAATTATCTGAATGCATCTCGAATTTACCATGTATCTGTGCAATCATATTACACTGTAAAATGGTTGTTTGAGCTAGTTAGAGGACTATTACAGTTTAATTACATTAAGGTATTTTTTCAGCATAGAGCTCTTGGCCAGCATTGCCATCCAGCAACACGGAAACTGGCTGTGTTTGATGGCTGTATTTATCAGCCAGAGCATCAAGATGAAAGCACCAGGGTGAGGTCTGGGAGATTTGGATTCTCTTTACAGCCTTTCCACAAGCTTCTCCTGTGATTTACAACATGCCAGGAAGGTGGTGCCAGATGAGCTCTTCCAGATGCAGCTTTTCTAACCTTAACATGTTATAGCTGCTGGTGGTTCTTCACGTCCACTGGTGGAAAAACCCTGAGGGAGGAGGTTACAGCCCTGTCAGGTCTGCTGGTGTTTTTCCAGCTGTACCTGTTTCCTGTCCTGCTTGTATTTTCAGAGTGAAGTGGTGAGCAGCTAGGCACAGTATCTTTTTACCCTGCTCAGCTGTAGCAGTTGTTGACCATACCCTTAAACTGGTGATGAATGTAGGTATTGCAAAAATGGGTCACAAAAAATAAATAGGAAACCATAACTAAAATCACTATACAAAAAAAAAAGCTGGAGAGGGTCCAGAGAAGGGCCACAAAGATGATCAGGGGACTGGGCAGCCTGCCATGTGAGGACAGGCTGAGAGAGCTGGGTTTGTTCAGCCTTGAGAAGAGAAGGCTCAGGGGAGACCTTATCGCTGTGTTCCAGTATTTAAGAGGTGTCTACAAAGAAGCAGCAGACTCCCTTTTTACAAGGAGTTCCATGGCAAAGATGAGGGATAATGGGTACAAGTTACTCCTGGGGCGATTCTGATTGGACACAAGGAAAATTTTTCACAATGAGAACAACCAGGCACTGGAATAATCTCCCCAGGGAAGTGAAGGATTCCCCAACATTGGACGCTTTTAAGATTCAGCTGGACAGGGTGCTGGGCTGTCTTGTCTAGACGGTGCTTTTGCCAAGAAAGGTTGGACCAGAAGATCCTTGAGATCCTTTCCAACCTGGGATTCTGTGATTCTATTTAATAAGTACAGTGCCATAAATCTTTCTGTGAGAAAGCTTTGGAAAAAGAGCAACAGTGTTCCTCATCTCCAAATAAGCTACTGTCCTTTATTTCAAAGACCTCGATTTACAGTTGAAAGCCATGATGCTTGCCTGCCAAGCTTTGCTCCTTGGTGTGTGCTGACACTCGCTTGCACCAGGGTGGAAGGCTAGGTGCAGGCATAAATCTCAATTTCCACAAGTGCCTGACATTTCCACAAGTC